AATTTGTTAGATCTTTCATAACTGAGGTATTACATAATAAATAATCCACAACACTACCACCTTGATTTTTTAAACACGTAAAGTAGCCGCTCTTGTCTGCAAAACGTCCATTCATAATACGTAACCCAGATGATTTACATAACTCTAAAAGGCGTTGGCCGTACCGGTTTGTCTCTGTGTCATGTGACCGTCTTGGTGGTATAATATCATCACTCAAATATTCTTCATGACAGGGAACATGTACAGTATTTGCTTGGCTTAAATAATCTACTAGATTCGCAGATCTAGCATTAAAATCACCACAGACCAAGCAATGGTAGTTAGGATACATTTGGGAATATTTAGCGTATTCAATTTCAAGTACATCAAATAAATTAATACCCGACTGCCAGGGTTCACATGGTTCGATATAACCTACTTTGTACTTTTTTTCAAAACCCTGGTTTTTTAAAATACAAAACAAAACTTACCCATCAGCCTATGTCACCAAACTACTGTATAATATGTCTGCCATAGAGACCCATGATAATATCGTTATAATACTGACAGAATGGCCACTATCCACTATTTTAAATACAACCACCATTTTCTCGAAAATTATGGTGGTTTCCTTATATTATCCAGGAGTACAAATTAATTGCATTATGAATAAATTCTGTGTATTTGCATTCACGTCTCGGATTCTACTTTTATTGACACATTATATTACAAGAGTGCGCCCTCAAAAAGTTATATATTTGTTATAGGGGGCGCTGTTTGAAGTGTAAAAACAAAACTGGCGGGACTTAGATAAAGTTGTCTGTTTCCTGGTTCTGATTCCTGCTTCTGCAGCTCGCATTTGGGTCGGTTTGATACGAAGTATGCGAAGTTGTTTCGTATATTCTTGGCTACTAATTTTGACTATAACGTTTCGATGTGATAAAGCAGTTCTCACAGATGAATCCCAGAACGTCAACTGGAGGTACGTTTGCGGTTTGCAATATGTGGCACATATTCTGGTAGTTCATAGCTCTCTTGATTGTCGGTCGTCATTTTCATTTGGTGTATATTTCTGGCCTCTGATATGTAGATCGACTTAGAACAAAATACGATCATGAACATGTCAGATAAGTAAAAAATAAGTTTAAAATCAGTCGTCTGTCGCACTAGCGACCCAGTGTCAAAGTTCTCTATAGCTGCGGATTCGTAGCTCTATCTTGCGACTGACAACTGTTTTACCTTTTTCTTTATTACTTGGACGTCTTCTTTTCAAATTTTGTGTTGTAAGTCGAATATAATGCGGGCCAGCCAAACACTGACGTCCAAAAACGGCCCTCATTTCACATTTATAAATATTTTATATTATACAAATCACGCCTTTATGAAGCCTGGTATGCAAGCAACTATGAAACATGCCTTAAAACTACACACCGAAGGGATAACAAAACTGACAAGTGTCTCAGTTTGTTTTGACAGCTACAAATATAAATTCTGCACTTGTTTGTAATTACTTTTATATCAACAGGGTCGTTATACCAGGTGTTAATCTCGGAGCAAAATTGACAACTAGAAAACCAGTAAGTATACATCAGTAGATTTAATATATACACTCAAACTAGTATTTCCATTTTTCATTATTATTGTTTTCTTGGTTATCCTTATTTTTTGCAAAAACTTGAAGAGTTTGTGATATTTTGCCCAATAAAATGTGTAAACTTTAATAAAAGAATTTGACGAAAATGACAATTCATGTAAAAACAAATTGTTTTAGGTCAACTTTTTGTTCAGCACAAAATTTTTGCCAAACTTCGTCAAAATAATAACCATCACAAAGTTTGACTAAAAAAATATAAAGCCAAAAATCAAATCAGATTGTTAATTTTATTTGTATGTGTTATATATTTCAGTTTTCACTGCAGTTGTTAGAAGATGCTGTAGATGTAGAGTGGAGTATATCTGATGATGGATGTCATTTTACTAATAACAGGTATTTGTTGTATTACAGCATATTGTGTGAGTAGTAATGTATTGCTCTGAAACAAGCTTCTATTTTTCTTTGTTCTGAATATTAAAACTATATTTATTGTTATTCTTTGTTCTGAATATTAATGGTTCAACTATTGTTATTCTCCATTCTGAATATTATCTGGGCATCTACTGTTCTTCTTTGTTCAGAGTACTGATGGTCCATCTAATGTTATTCTCTGTTTGAAATATTTCGATGATTCATCTTTTGTTATTCTCTGTTGCATTATTTATTGTTTTCACAGCTCTTCAGTCACCATGGTACATTGTAGTGAGTCTGGTATACATACAATAATTCTGTCCTTAGTCTTAGACACTGACAGTGTAAGTATAGAACGGAATAAATTTTGTTTTGTAATTATGTTATTATGTTATAACTTCAAATTCGTCAAATATTTTTTTGTGCAGTGCTGCCACCTCGTCTTCGTTATCACATGCTTTGTAACTCACTTGTATATACCATCTTGCTCTTCAATACAAATATGAACCACAATTGCATTTATTTTAACCTTAATTGTAAAATATTCAACTCATAAACATACTTGTCCCTGTCAATACAACATATACGGTAATTACATTCACAAACATTCCAGGTAAAACATTATGCAATTAATTTAATTTCTTTCCAAGATTTATTTTGATATTGTGCCTGTATATATATACTTTTAGAATACAACAAGATCTTACCAGTCTTCCCATGCAGTTTATGTAGATGATGATCCTATGTGTTATACTTGGTATTTTATAGCTCTTCCTAAAGATAGTGTCAGGTATAAAACTTAATGCTTATATCAATATTTCTATACCATATTTGCTTTATTAGTAGCTTATGTTTCTAATAAACATATAAACTAAAAATTGCATTCATTGTATGCTGGGTCATACATACATACCTATATCATTGACCTAAGCACATGTACTACATGCAGCAAATGTTTTGTGCCAATAGCTGCCAACGAACAACACATATTGTCACCCTAGGTGAGTATTGTCATCTTGAGTAAATATATCTTGGAAAAATACTGTTACCTAAAATTAATCAATATGTGTTTTATATATAGTATATGTTAATTATAAATGAACATATAATGTTTATTTCTCTAGTGAGGATTACACTCATCTTTTAAGACTATGGATTGTTGATCCTTATAATGCTGATGAGCAGGAGATGAACTTAACAGCAAGTGTGCCCTCAAAGGTAGGAAATCCTGTCATAGTGTGAATCAAGCTCAGCTTAGACATGATAGCCAGCAACTAATAAGAACAAGAATTGAATAGATGTAGTGTGGGAGGTGATGTAACACATGATATTGTTCTGTTCTCTCAAAGCAATCAGCAGATCTCACCATTCAGTTTATGGACAAGAAACAGAATCCAATAGTGAAACTATCGAAAAATAATCATATGCAGGAATTTACTGTAGTGTCACAGGACATAAATGACTATCTAGGGTAGGTGGGATTCATTGGCAGCCAAGCTAGGTGGGATTCATTGACAGCCAAGCTAGGTGGGATTCATTGGCAGCCAAGCTAGGTGGGATTCATTGGCAGCCAAGCTAGGTGGGATTCATTGACAGCCAGGCTAGGTGGGGTTCATTGGCAGCCAAGCTAGGTGGGATTCATTGGCAGCCAAGCTGGGTGGGATTCGTTGGCAGCCAAGCTAGGTGGGATTCATTGACAGCCAAGCTAGGTGGGATTCATTGACAGCCAAGCTAGGTGGGATTCATTGACAGCCAAGCTAGGTGGGATTCATTGACAGCCAAGCTAGGTGGGATTCATTGGCAGCCAAGCTAGGTGGGGTTCATTGGCAGCCAGGCTAGGTGGGATTCATTGGTAGCCAAGCTAGATGGGGTTCATTGACAGCCAAGCTAGGTGGGATTCATTGGCAGCCAAGCCAGGTGGGATTCATTGACAGCCAGGCTAGGTGGGATTCATTGACAGCCAAGCTAGGTGGGATTCATTGACAGCCAAGCTAGGTGGGGTTCATTGGCAGCCAGGCTAGGTGGGATTCATTGGTAGCCAAGCTAGGTGGGGTTCATTGACAGCCAGGCTAGGTGGGGTTTATTGGCAGCCAGGCCAGGTGGGATTCATTGACAGCCAGGCTAGGTGGGGTTCATTGGCAGCCAAGCTAGGTGGGATTCATTGACAGCCAAGCTAGGTGGAATTCATTGACAGCCAAGCTAGGTGGGATTCATTGACAGCCAGGCTAGGTGGGATTCATTGGCAGCCAAGCTAGGTGGGATTCATTGGCAGCCAAGCTAGGTGGGATTCATTGACAGCCAGGCTAGGTGGGGTTCATTGGCAGCCAAGCTAGGTGGGATTCATTGGCAGCCAAGCTAGGTGGGATTCATTGGCAGCCAAGCCAGGTGGGATTCATTGACAGCCAAGCTAGGTGGGGTTTATTGACAGCCAGGCTAGGTGGGGTTCATTGACAGCCAGGCTAGGTGGGGTTCATTGACAGCCAGGCCAGGTGGGATTCATTGACAGCCAGGCTAGGTGGGGTTCATTGACAGCCAGGCTAGGTGGGGTTCATTGGCAGCCAGGCTAGGTGGGGTTCATTGGCAGCCACGCTAGGTGGGGTTCATTGGCAGCCAAGCTAGTTGGGATTCATTGGCAACCAAGCTAGGTGGGATTCATTGGCAGCCAGGCTAGGTGGGGTTCATTGGCAGCCAGGCTAGGTGGGATTCATTGGTGGCCAAGCTAGGTGGGGTTCATTGACAGCCATGCTAGGTGGGGTTCATTGGCAGCCATGCTAGGTGGGGTTCATTGGCAGCCAGGCTAGGTGGGGTTCATTGGCAGCCAAGCTAGGTGGGATTCATTGGCAGCCAAGCTAGGTGGGGTTCATTGACAGCCAGGCTAGGTGGGGTTCATTGGCAGCCAAGCTAGGTGGGGTTCATTGGCAGCCAAGCTAGGTGGGGTTCATTGGCAGCCAAGCCAGGTGGGGTTCATTGACAGCCAGGCTAGATAGGGTACCTCGACAGCCAAGCTAGGTAGGGTACATTGACAGTCGAGCTAAGTGGGATATTCATTGACAGCCAGGCTAGATGGGATTCAGTGACAGCCAGGCTAGGTGGGGTTCATTGACATCCAGGCTAAGTGGAATTCATTGACAGCCAGGCTAGGCGGGCGAGTTTCAGTGACAGCCAGGCTAGATGGGATTCAGTGACAGCAGGCTAAGTAGGATTCAGTGACAGCCCAGCTTGGCGTGATTCATTGACAGCCGGGCTAAGTGGGATTCTGTGACAGCCTGGCTAGGTGGGATTCAGTGACAGCCCAGCTTGGTGTGATTCATTGACAGCCGGGCTAGGTAGGATTCAGTGACAGTAAGGCTGGATTTGGTTTCAGTGACGGCCAGGCTAGATGGGATTTAGTGACAGCAGGCTAAGTGGGATTCAGTGACAACCCAGCTGGGTGGGTTCATTGACAGCCGGACTAAGTGGGATTCATTGACAGTCAGGTGAGGTGGGATTCAGTAACAGCCCAGCTTGGTGTGATTCATTGACAGCCAAGCTAGGTGGGATTCATTGACAGTAAGGCTGGGTTATGGATTCAGTTACAGCCAGGCTAGATGGGATTTAGTGACAGCAGAGCAGACTAAGTGGGGATTCAGTGACAGCAGGCTAAGTAGGATTCATTGACAGTCAGGTGAGGTGGGATTCAGTAACAGCCCAGCTAGGTGGGATTCAGTGACAAACCAGCTGGGTGAGTTCATTGACAGCCAGGCTAAGTGGGATTTAGTGACAGTCAGGCTAGGTTGGATTCAGTGACAGCCAGGCTAGTTGGAATTCAGTGACAGCCAGGCTAGGTGGGATTTAGTGACAGCCAGGCTAGGTGGGTTTCAGTGACAGCCAGGCTAGGTGGGATTTAGTGACAGCCAGGCTAAGTGGAGTTCAGTGACAGCCAGGCTAAGTGGGATTCAGTGACAACCCAGCTAGGTGAGTTCATTGACAGCCAAGTTAGGTGGGATTTTGTGACAGGCAAGCCAGGTGGGATTCATTGACAGTCAGGCTGGGTGGGATTCAGTGACAGCCAGGCTAAGTGGGATTCAGTGACAGCCAGGCTGGGTGGGGTTCAGTGACAGTCCAGCTAGATGGGATTCAGTGACAACAGGCTAAGTGGGATTCAGTGACAGCCAGGCTGGGTGGGGTTCAGTGACAACCCAGCTAGGTGAGTTCATTGACAGCCAAGCTAGGTGGGATTTTGTGACAGGCAAGCCAGGTGGGATTCATTGACAATCAGGCTGGGTGGGGTTCAGTGACAGTCCAGCTAGATGGGAATCCTTGACAACAGGCTAAGTGGGATTCAGTGACAGCCAGGCTGGGTGGGGTTCAGTGACAGTCCAGCTAGATGGGAATCCTTGACAACAGGCTAAGTGGGATTCATTGACAATCAGGCTGGGTGGGGTTCAGTGACAGTCCAGCTAGATGGGATTCAGTGACAGCCAGGCTAAGTGGGATTCAGTGACAGCCAGGCTGGGTGGGGTTCAGTGACAGTCCAGCTAGATGGGATTCAGTGACAACAGGCTAAGTGGGATTCAATGACTCAGTACCTATCTCAGTATATCAGTACATATACCAGATTGACAGGATGTGTTCTAATCTTGCTTTCTTGCATAATTTATTTTCAAGGTGTTGGGAAATTTACTCAACTCTAAAATATTCTGATGCATACCAGATGGAAATCCATGTTAATGGAAAATCACATCTTGCTGTTGCTAACTGTTTTGTAAGGTTAGTGTTTTCTTGCATGAAGTTTTATGGGTTGAAAACATGTATTTACACCCTGTCTAATTAAACCCTATCAATTTAACTTAATATGTTTCATAACATGTGTATCCTCTATGGTTGAGTTTAAGGGTTAATGGTTGACATTTGTCAGGGTGATAGCTGTGTCTTTTCGAAGTGCAATAAAAAAGATTACTGGGTATCCTTGTCTCAATGAGTAGTTGATTTATACTGGATAATCTTCTACAATAAAATTGCTGTATTGTTTAGATTATTTGTTATTCAATAATAATTTCACTCCAAACTGCTTTGCAGCTTTTTTCAAAAGAAAAAAAAAATGTTGACAAACACTGGATATCATGAGGCAGCGATGAGGGGAATTTGAGTAAAATTGAAGCTAGCATTTCAACTAAATCAAGACTGCAATTATTTGCCTATTTATGTTGTCAAATAATAAAACATCCATCTTCTTTTTTTTAGGGGTACTCTTTAATACTCTCACCGCTGCACAACCTTGTATATGCACATCTGATATTCCTACCTAGAAATCATAATTGTTTTTCAGGTCACAACCTGTACTAGGAATTGTTTTTAACTTCTACCACTGCTTAAACTCAGATATCCATCCCAACCCTGCCACCCTGTACCTTTCTTAGATGTCTTTATTCCAGAGTCTTTACCATTTTAACCCATTATTAATCCAGCCAATTTGAACCTATTCCAGCAGGGCCTGAACTTCACAGTTGAAAGGACCCCTATTTCAAAGGAAGATTTGATAAAATTGTCTTTAGCATATAGGAATAGATTAAGGACAAACTGTATAACTAAGGCCACCAAGGCAAATTACTTGGATATTGAGACAATTGCCTTTAATGTGTTTCATCAAGCCCCCCCCCTATTCTAGAATTCACCATCTCAACCTGAAACTAACCAAACCCTGCATTAGCCAGTACTGTATTTTCTATTTGTTTAGGGACTCTGTGTTTCCTATTACACAACCCAAGTTTGTATTAAGTGATAATAGTGATTGGTTAGCATTGAGAGGGCACAGTGACAGACCAACTATAATACAGGTTGGTACATGTATATACTTATACACAAGAAGTTTTTAGACATTGGGTACAAGTAATCAATTTTTTTCAAGACAAAAATAAAAAAAACGATGAACAGACAATTTCTGTAACCACCTGTGCTAGTTAAAATGTCTGGAAGTGGAATTCTGTTCTTCAACTCACTATATTGTACTTTACTTTTACTGTTCATGAGTTTCTGATTGTTTCCAGGATGCATGTGCACTTAATGTTGTCATTATTCTAACAAGGTTTGTGTGTTCATTATCTTTGTTGATGTATTCAGTAATTATGGGATTTAAAAAAAAAATGCACATTTATTTGATTGCGCAGCTGAATTTGTACATGTATGTGAAGCCATTTCTGGGTTCCAGACTCACCTGCTTACAACAATTGGAAAAATGCATAGATATATGTAATAATGCGGTTTCTTAAAATAAAATCACTATGATCCTGTATATTTTGCTTATTTTATAATTGTATTGGTGGTTGCTTGGTTACAGCAATGGTATGTATATATCCCAAGATAATTTGAAATCAACAAACAGATTATGGATTCAGCGTCTACTTTTACAGGTTTGCTATAACATCTTTGTCCTTTCAGTTTTACATCAAATCATTGTAGGCTCACTAACACAGGGCAATATAAAAGAAGGTATTTAAATTTGTGGTTAATATCTGAATGAACAAATGTTTTAGAAAACATATTAGCCGGTAGATAAATGCACTTGTCGTAGCATTTGTTCAGTTATGCATAAAACATTACCTGAATTCTTTGAATCAAAAGCACTTTGTATGTTTTTGAATTTTGTTTATTAAGATGACAGAGTGCATTGACCTCATGTACTGCCCATATACCTAATATACAAGCTCCATGTGGTAGTCAATGCACTGTTTCTATAGTCACTTCTGCTATGCAAAGAAACAATTATGCATCATTATTTTGTATCCATCTATGTTACAATAGTTATACATGTTTAAAATCAATATGATAATTAAACCATGTGATCAAGCAAAATCTCAGTCAGGTGCACCAGTTCACATTTTGTTCAAAAAAAATGATATAAGAGAAAAATCAGAATAATAACAAAAGGCTTCCACACCCCTATTGGCTTGAACTCTTGATAATAAACTTTCCGTGATATTACAGGACATTGAACCAGTAGTTGAGAATGTAGCACTGTCAAGTTCACACATGTTTATATTAATTGGTGATACATTATATGCAAGAAACACTACACAAAGTCAGTTTGTAGAAATAATAAGTAAGTTGAACTTCTCTGACATTTGCATTCTACTACCTTGTGTTAGTTACTTATGAATGTACAAGCAGTACTTTCAATCAAAGATTACAAATTTTTTTTTCTGTTTTAGAGTTTTCAACTACAGACAGTATTGGTTTAAAATCAAGACAGTCTTATGTTACTGTTTGTAACACTCAGGTATTGTGTTTTTTTTCGTTTTGTCTAAAATGATAGTTCTGTTTCATATAAGATTGTTTATTTAATTCTTGCTTAATTTAGAGTGCCCATAGTGGTATATATACTAGAAATGTTTTTGTATTTCTTCTTATTTAGTTCATCCAAAACTTGGCCAGCTCTTGTTTCAGATTAAACTATCTTTGTCATATTATCAACTCTTCAACTGTATTTCTCCTTTTGTCACTTTATATACTCAATTTATAAACAATACATGGTTTCAGAGAAAAAACAAACCTTGAATGATTTATTGTAATTTTCAGTTTTCATTCATTCATTTTATCATTCATTTTATTGCATTGCTGAAAGTTTTCTGATGTTGTACTATGGGCTAATAGTACACTATACAGAATAGATATTGATTGTGATTTCAACATGAAGAAAACTGTTCACATTATATCAGATAAAATCTTGCAAAGCATGGATTCTATACCAAATAGTTCATCTGTAAGTAATATTATCAGTTCACCATAATGATTAGTTTTTCAATCGCCTTTCACTCTGCTTTCTGTTTACAACCATAATTTAATCAATTTGATCAAAAGATTTGTCATTAGAAAAAAATGTAATATTTTGAAAGAGAAAAAGTTTTGCTGATATATGGTTTACTATGACGCCTCAAATATCAACAAAGTTTACAGTGACTTACCTTCCTAATATTTAGTGGGTCTTTTAACCCTCTCCATTCTCCATTCTGGTCTGGAATTGTCTCCATTTAGCTCATTCACCATGTAAATTTATTCCAACTTCACAAAGTATGTAGTGGTCGAACTTTTAATTAATAGTTTCTGTGCCAACTATCAGTTGATACAGCACATATGGAAAACATACAATTGTTATTCATTGTTTGGGTAATTTCCATATTCAAATAAACCAACTACTAGTAATCACATTGCAACATTGTAACAACAGAGTGATATGAAGAGGGTCAATAGACCAATGAAATAAAAGGAAAGTAACCAGACTAACAGTGAATAAGCAATTGCTAAAACAACATAATATTATTATTGTATTTTTTTAATTGAAATTTTCAGTCTAATTGTTTTGTCTGCCAAAAGTTCAGCACAAAAAAATGCTGACCTAATTTTTGCAAGATTGTTCGACAGCAAGTTATATAATTATTTAAAAGAAATCTTTAATTGTAATTATTACACATTAGCATCAAAGAGTTGTTTGGTATGAAATTATTGTGTTGCTGTGATAAAACATGCTATTTCCATCTGTTTGGTGTTTGATACACATAAAGGGTTTAATGTGATATTGTTTTGTATGGATATACACATAAAGTGATAAAGTTTTGAATGGGAATGTGATCATGTTTTAAATGGGGCACACAAGTGATGAGGTTTTAATTGGGGACACATAAACTGATGACATTTTAAATGGGGACACACAAGTGATGAGGTTTTAATTGGGGGACACATAAACTGATGACATTTTAAATGGGGACACACAAGTGAGGAGGTTTTAAATGTGTTCTTACAAGAGGATGAGTTTGTTGTTTTGTTATGTTTAGCGTATATCATTAGTATCGGGAGTGATACTATATCTGAAGATTGATATATATGATCTAATTTATATTTACAATATAAACTTCTGAATCATAATTGCCTATATTGTGTTTTAGCTTGCAATACAGGATGTTGTATTCACTACTTTACCACATGAAGTCACAGTAATGGTTAAAGTTGAGGGTAGAATTGAATCAAATCTATTGTTTATCAATTGTGATTTACTCAGTGGTGAATGGACACTTTTACCATTTTGGGCAGAGTTAGGTACACCAGGTAAGAACACTACTATGTTTTGGGGCTGAGCTCAGTTCACCAGGTAAGGACACTAGCTCTATTATTGTGGGCTCTCCTGGGTACACCTGGCAAGGACCTTATCTTCTACCATGTTGGGCTGCATAGGTACACCAGGTAGTAAACTTCTATTAGTTTGGGGTGAGCTGGTTAAATACCAGGTTAAACCTAACATATTTGTATCTGATTATTTTGATTTGTAAATCGTTTTCATGCCAACTATTTTATCTGCCAAATTTGTATTATTTTCCGCTCTAAATCATGGTAATGATCCTCTATCATACTTGCAGATATATGTATAACTTGTAAAACTGTTTTCTTTTACAGCTCCATTTAACTTGTTGAATGTACCTGGGGCAAAGCAAAATACAATATTTTGGAATAATGATACTGTATTCCATAGTTATAACAAAGGTAAGATTAGATGTAGTTGTACTATTTATTGAAAATAACTATGTCAATGTCTTATCTGTTAAATATATTAGGCCTTATCCCATTATAGAGTGTATAGTATGAGATAATTACTTTGTTGGCAATGAATATAATAATTATTTCATGACATTTGTTATAGGATTTGATACTGGTATGATGAATGTCAATGAGTGTGATAATAAAACCAGCAATGAAGTGATAGATCAAGTGATACTAGGTCCAATGGCAGAGATTATTATAATCACATCAGAAAACAACTTATATTACACACTAGTTGGTCAGAAGAATTTACTCCAGGTACAGATTACTGATAATGCATTGATTATTGGAAAGTATTTTGAGCATTAACAGTGGAATATGATTTGGTGAGAGTATATAGTAGCCAATACAATTTATTTTTGCTGAATAGACTTTTTGGGTGTTTTGTTTATTTTCACTGATTACTGAAGAGCGGAATGTAAAATATATAAAAAAAAGTATATTCACTGGATTTTATTTTCACTGAATCATTCCTTCAGCGAAAAATAGCGAAAAAATAATTCCAAGCGAAAATTAAGTATACTACAGTATTTCATTAAGTAATGGTAGTGTGAGGTGAGAATTATAATAACCATAATTGTTTGTTTAGCTTTCAGCTTGTATGTTCACTGTTAGCAATGTTACTGTATTCATTGATAAAATGGGGAAGCTGTATGAAATATCAGAACAGTAAGATGCATGTTTTCATTGAAATATTAGTTTACCCACATTTATGTGATTGTGTTATATCGAGTAACGTTTGTGTTTTTTAATTTCACCTGATGTCCACAAAAATGATGTCCAAAAAATGTGCCGTAATTAACTTATAGTTTTTAATCATTTTATTCAGAAATGGTGAAATTGTGAAGATTGTTATGGATTCCCTTGAAGATCTTGTATCTATATCAGAGTATTTGATTGATTCACCTCAACCCTGTCCTGTAAGTATTCTTTCAACTACATTCTTCCACACAATCATCTTAATATTCATCTTTATATACTCCTTGTGATGATATTGGTAATAAAAAGGTAAACAAATATATGTTGACATATGTATGTATGGCTACATCCATTCAGAAAGCTGAAAATAATAAATGCGCATATAAGAAATTTAAAACAATTAACAGATGAATTTAAACCATATTTAATACATGTCAAGAATATCACAAAGTTTAGAATATCAATCATCACATGTTCTACCAGTTGAAAGACTAAAAACATAAACAAGGAAAGTATTCATTGTAATACCAGAGTTATTGTCTCAAGGGAGCCCCCTGAAAACTCATTCTTAACTTGAACAGACAAAATAACAAACATACCAAATCAACTACTTACGAATCATATCCTTATGTATGATATTAAGGCATGGTGTAATCCTGCCCAATGACTATCATTTAAACAGCAATATCTAGCATATCTTCACTACAGTAGGAGATTATATTAAATCTAACTATGTGGAATATGTCTTGTTTGAGTATCACCTGTGCTGACTGTTGTTTTTAAAACGTATTGCATCGACATTGGTGACTTAACTTGTGTATTTCCAGTCACTCAAGTAACTAAAATTGATTTATTTTATAATTTCAGTACAAATACTTAAGTTTCCAGCAAGAACAATCAGATGTTTATTACATTGATATTGATGACTGTGTGCAACTGACATCTCAACTCATTCATTCATCAGTTATATCAAATAATATAGAGGTAATGTTATTATGTACACATTGGAAACGGTCAAACACTGTGTATGCGTAGAAAGTACACCTATATCATCAAATGTAAAAATAGTGTGATTGTCGAGATGTAACTAATACACACTACAAAATAATAAAACCTGACTTCATCTCAACTCTCTGAAGCTTTAGCAGTGATATACATGGAACAACTTCGAAATTGTATATTCAAATCATGGAATAAATGCTGTGATTTTCTCAGAAGATATGAACAATAACATATATTAATATATTATATATATTTTGATTTTGTGTATTAGGTGATAGGCAGTTCCAATAAACTACTGCAATGTAATATTACTGAAACATCATCATATCACGCTGGATGGAGATCAAGAATCAAGGTTTTTTATTAATTTTACGTCATATTGCATCACTAATATTAAATGAAAGCATGCATTATAATTTCATTATTGAAACAATTGATCAACTTAATTGATCATCAGGTTAGTGGTAATATGTACAACGTCTTCAGATCTTTTTAAATTAAGAGTTGTGGTAGTGGTTTAGTTGTGTACCCACATTCTATTCTAAATGAGATTCACCAGTCATACAAAATAAACACATGACTGGTTTGGGGTACAAATAATCCAATACCAAAACAAGTAAAATCTTAGTATTCAGGTACTATATATATGTGTTTGTGTATTCATTAGTTTCAGTTACATATTTAATGCAAAGTATATGTCTTAAAAGTGCTTATTAAATCATTCCTGATTTCAGACTGTGTCAGTATTTTTTCAACAAAGTACAGACAAAATGATCACTGACTACCAATTAACAAATGAGGTAAACAGTGTCTATGTCTTAGAGATTAAGCCATCACAGAGATCAATGTCATGTCCAAGACCCTCTCAATTGGTGAGTAGCTTTAATAATCAATCAGATACATATGTCAAAATGTTCAAGAGTATCTCAAATAGTAAGTTGTTTTAGCATTAAACATGACTCCATTACATAGATATATGTCAAAATGTCCAAGAATATCTCAAATAGTAAGTTGTTTAGCATTAAACATGATTCCATTACATAGATATATGTCAAAATGTCCAAGAGTATCTCAAATGGTAAGTTGGTTTAGCATTAAAGATGAAAACATTACATAGATATATTTCAAAATGTCCAAGACCCTATTATTTAAGGTACTTAAATACTTAAGGTATTATTTAAGGTAAATACTGTTCTACCAATTGGAATATAATAATAATTGTATTGCTTTCTTGTAAATAAAGTGACAACTTATACAATCAACACAATGTATATATAAATACTATTATTCAATGGCCTCTCTTTTGTGTATATAGGTTCAGCTAAATTTGACAAACCTTTGTAATAATAAGTAATAATGTGAATAGAATTTTACTATTTTTCATTTCTTATGGAATCTTAATTTTTTACAAAGGAATGATTTTTTTGATTGATCATTACAGAACATTACATCAACATGCTTTCTTTATAAATCTATAAGTTGTATAATAGATCACATTTAAGTACTCAACTCATTGTTTGAATCTTGGCACTTCAGTGTTTAGATAAAAAGAAACATACAGATTGAATCTGCTTATTTTCTTCATTTGATCTCTAGATTTCATACTTCAGTATTGGTTGTCCACCTGGTAGACATATTAGAGTTAGAAATCCAGGTGCAAGTGATGAGGATTGTAATGTTATAAGCAGTTATCCAGTACTAATTAGGTATATTTAAGTTTTGATGAATTAATATTATATTAATGTGTGTTTAAAAGAACAAGAGAAGAGGTATTTATAGTGATTATATACGTTGTTAAATTATAATAACAACTTATTATATCAACAGCAACTACAGAAATTATTTTACAATCCATCTACAATGGATGAATGAATTTGAAATTACCCTGATAGTAAGAATAAGTACTTTGCAACTGTGGCTAAAGTGTTTAATCTTGTAATGCCTTCTAGTTACTTGATTATCAATAATTTTTTTTTTTTTTTACAGTGATACATTGTTGAACAAAACAACTGAAGAGGTAAGTCTTGGGAAGATGTTATGTCTTTTGAAATACATGAACCATAATTGTTTCCAGAAATTTTACATGTGTCAGTTAATGTCATTGAAACAACATACTACACAGAACTATTTAGGTGAAATGATTAATACTCCTCATACATCTTGTTGATGTTACCAACTGATTTTGTGCCAACACTTATGTCTCTTCCAGGATGTTTATAATAATATAACTGCATCTGGATGTCTGGTATCTAGTCATTATCTTGATGAATTCCGACCTGTTGTAGATCTGTAAGTTTTTTACCAAATTACACTCATCTGAAATAGTTGACAATTTATGTGTTTGATGAAGTATGTTTTAAATCAAATCTCTACTTAAAACAGTTATGATGGTGATTATTTTGTCAAAGAAGTGACAGCTAACTTTGTTGTATGGGAAACATCGAACAGAACTGGGTATAGCTACAACTCTACAATGGCACAGGTAAGGTTTTGTTCTCAAATGACTCTTCTTTTTAATTAAATTACATTACATTACATTACATTACAATACGTTACATTGCATTACATTACATTACAGTAATTACTTCACAAACAATTCCTTTATTACATGTTGCATGTCGTTTTGTGTGTCAATATATATGAATGTGAAATACTTGCTATAAAATAATTGTAACTTTTAAAAACAACACATTCATATTGTGGTATCCACCTGTCCTAATGTAGTGTTCATTACCAGGTTGGATGTCTTAGAGAAGCACAGACATGGACAACTATGAGGGAGTCCAATGACTTGCAGGATTTGTATGATGTCTGGGGTCCTCATGTGAGTATCGCAATCTGATTCAATTTATATTGTAGTAAATAACATCAATTGCTTAACTTGAGATATTTATAAAAAAAATTAACATTTGATATTAACTATTAGTTAATACCTTGTTTTGTCTTGTATGAATTGTTGACTGTATATATCAACTTACCCTGAGTTTTGCCATGCTTAAATATTTATTAATAACCCTGAAATATTATATTTAGTGTCTTCAAGGAAACTTACAATAAATTCACTGTTTCAGAATTATTACAGTTGCTTTACTGCAGATGATGTAGATGACAATGATTTGTCTCAGCAATATGAAATCATGAACAAGACTGGTATATCGTCTATGAAGTGGTTATCTCAAAAAAAAGAAAATGTGTATGAGTTCAATTTAGTTGTTATTGATCCAGCATACAGGTAATTGTTAAAACAATCAAAATTGTGTTTGTTAAGAATGATTTAATAAATAGTCATAAGAAAAAATCATTGTTATTCTAGTTTTATGAGATATAAGATATATATATATATGTATGTATTTGAGCATCGCCAGATTAGATATTTAATAGATTATATGTTTTAATTCCACAGTTTCTGCAGACTGGAAACACAGTTTGCTGTAAGGGTATATGGTGTAGCCACTGAATCAGATACATCATATGAGCTTAAAGTATGCCTGGCAACATTTGTTGCATTGTGCACTGTCATAATAATAGCATCATACTTTCATTTCCGTGAAATACATATCACAAACCTGGAGAAGAGAATTAAAAATGAGCTGGAAGAAGAAGAACATCGGGAATCTAAAAGGGAGTTCAGCCAAAATACTCAAGAAGCAAATGCCACACCTGGCCACATTCCAAAGTTTAATACCAAGAAAGTTATTGCCAGTAGTCATGACAATCAGGAAAATGTAGAAGCTTAGATATACAAGTATAAATGTAGGTGTGTGAAATATAACATGCAGTTTCCATATTGCATATTAAAATAAATGAAACTTGTCACATAAATGAAACTTTCACAGATAAGATTTATTAAAGGGAGATTGAAGTTTATAATTGTGATATAAATCTTGTGATGTGGAATGTTTGTAGAAGATCAACTTGACTGGAAGGTTAACTACCTATTGTGATAGTATTTTTGGGGAATAGTCATACTGATAATGACAAATATTAGTTGCATATGTACAAATCCAAATGTTTATTCTTAAAGACACCCAAGTTTTATCCTCAGCTTCCTTTGTGTTGTTAAATCATATCTTCTTGCCTTTCATATGCTACTCAACAATATTGTGAGGTTTTTAATGATCAATATGGTGTGGTCAAAAAATACATTTAGTGTGATATGTTATATATTATGTTTTCGTACTGAATTTTCATAACAGATGAATAACGAATGCTGATTTGAAAAATTAAACTATCAATAAAATATGTTGTTCTTCATAACGTGTTGTTATGCTCAGAATTTGGTAACTATCGAGTATTGCTAATTTTGTACTGCCTAATGCTTTATTTCAGTATGGACTATGAGTGGCAGTCTCAAAACTAATATTGCTGTTTGTAGACAAGAGGAATATCCATTATGTGCTGTCATTTTAGAATCAATTAAAAAGATGTTTCTGATTGTTGTTGGAGTTCATGAAAATGGTAAAAATAAAAAGAGTAGTTATCAATGGTCATAGATTATTTTGTGTGATTTAATGTGTGGTATATAGATATGAATTTGGCTATGCTTGGATTAAACAAGGTTGGAAATTTTACTATCACTTGTTGCACAAACAGTTAAAGATCATTCGATGCATAATTAGCATAATGATGTAGGGTCGTGAATGAAGCTCTATTAAGTATTAATCCAATGTGGCAAACATATTCCAGAAAACAAACAAATTTGTAAATACTATATTGCAAAGAACATTGTATTGGAGATGAATATCACTTGTATTTGATCAATTACAATGATTTGAGAAAGAAACTAGTTAAAGTTATATTTTCGGAATTTCCAACTGTTGATACATTGTTATCACTGATGCAGTAAAAAATGCTACACTACAAACTCAATCAGCTACTTACTGTGTTACTAGCCTCACATCAATAATCTTTATCAAAGTTTATTTGGTATTTATCGGTTTACAAGTCTCGAATCCTTGATTACGCAATGTGTATTTTGATTAATCACTTATATAAAATTCCACTTTTCGCAATTGTTGATGTCTACTGTATAACTGTATTTGTCCTTCCAATATATAACGGAACACTCTCCCCATGATGCATTGAAAAATCACACACAAAATAAGTCAGTGTAATTGTAAAAACTAAGCAATATGTGATATTCATACCAAGTTTGACCCAAAATATTCAGTGCATTATAAATCGCTGCTGCTTGTAATTATATGCAATAAAACCATGACCAAAAGGTTACATTCATTTTCTTTGGTACATGTATATGAGTAAAAATCACTAAGTGTTAGTGGTGATGTTGTCATCGAAATCACGTTCAGTTCAGGCCACAACTCTCCTAAGTAACATAAACAAATACTTGTGTTATTATTCAAAAATGTTAATGTACTACATCGCCGCAGACTAAAGTAAATTACACATTCGCGTTTCACCCACAGGTTTCACGACGAACGCCCCATATACTTCCACACTTTGATATATATGCCAATCTGATTAAAATCATTTCTAATTGGACTATTTATTTATGTTTTTAACATTTTTTAATGTTATTATTCTTTCTTCTCTTTTTTGTGTGTTATTTAGTTTTTCGATTATTGTTGTTTGTTTGACCGCGAAAGCCCAGAGATCTGAACAATCTCTATAGGATGTCTTGTTCAACTCTCACACTTTGTCGTTTATGCACACATGCCATGATCACTTTATACAAGACTAATCCAGTTATTTGCAGTCCCACGAAGGATAACTTCTATGGAGATTGTTCAGATCTTTGGACGTTCGCAGCCAGGGAATTAAAAAAAATCAAGGCCCAATATAATAAACATACAATTTTAATCAGATTATTATAATAAACAGCAAACAGCGTTTGGTAAAATCAATCAGGGGAGGCAAAGTACTAAGATGATGATTTTGATTATGAATTTGTAATTAATGTTATATGTGGTGCATCTGTTTCTGATTGTGTCGGAAGCGAAAATTAAAGAAACGAAATGGTGGGAGAAATGTTCGTTTTTATCTTTAAAAATATTGTGTAAATACTGTTGGCTGCCGGATCATGATTATTTTGCATAAAATCGAAAGTTGTAAACATATAAGATACAAATCAAATAAACTATGATAAAGATCACAGGTATTACTAGCTCACAGAAGGGGAAAGAGTTCCTTTTACATGTAGCTCCAAAATGATAATAATAAATGATGTTTAGGTGATATTGAATTATTCAGTTGCATTGTGACATCAATATAACTCTGTAAGTATTTGTATAAGAATTGTGGTATTCGTCTGTAGAGTAGACACTGTTATGCTGGCCGTAACTGGGATCTATATAAAAAAGACGTTCTCCGTTTTCACACGACAATGCCTAACACATCGAATCCAATACTGAATAAGTTTCTGTCATCGTATACTGAAACTGATACATTTTAAATTTGTGATAGTCACTGGATAGAATTTTAAGCAGTTATTGTATGAAAGATCGATCTACACCACAAAATTATATTCATGACATGAACTTTAATTGTGTTAAAAATCTGTTAACTGCTAATATTCTAAAACTTACATATATTTTTTTCTGAAAGATAATATCGACTCTGGCAATATTCAGGATACAAACAAATTACAGTTACATATTGGAATGCTTCTAATAAAAAAAAGTCGACGGAGTTAGCATCGATGTAACTGTATAATAGCATAATATATATGTATCCATTTCACTTCACCGTAATGTACATTAACTGTATTATAAAAAGTATCTAGAAATATAGTCAGTACGTATACAGTGGTGATGCCTCGACTGACTGCGTTTTCTTTCCATTCACGGTCACATATCATCGATAGTCTGAAACCCCAAACACATGAAGTATGTGGTTATTTCTACGAATAGATTTATTGTACAATTATGCTATACAAGTTTGTCATAGTAGTCTCAAGAGAGATGCTGAATTTTGAGTTACGAACATCGCGGTACGAAAACATCGACCTAAAAAAATGACCACGCCCACATTTTAGAAACTAAGTAATTCAGCATCTCGTCTCAACATACTAAATCAGAACATACTAGCGCGCGCAAAACAGCATGAAGCGTGATGGTGACTGTATTCATCACAAATAAACAAAATTATACTCACTTCTCGTGCTAGATCTGTTATTTTGTCCAATGTATCCTTCTGGGTTCGTAATATATGCCCATTGCATTCGATGGACGCCAACAGCATGAGAAAATGGCCCATGTATTTTCTTTCCCTGTGGAAGACTAACTTATGAATACCACTACATATGCGGAGAGATATTCTTTGAATTGCGGACAAGGAAATGCAGTAGCAACCCAGTCAAGGACACTCACACAACCCGTGTAGACCAAATATTGGGTTGAACTATTTTGTGGCACAAAAATGGGCAACTGCTGTGTCAGTATGTGAGCAGCTCATGGAGGTGAACTACTTATATCCCATCAATGTATAGTAACTACACATATTAATATATAGAAAATAATTATGTGAAACACTTTACCTTTCGCTGTACTTGTCTGAAGGGTAATAATCCTCTAATGTTTTATGTATCGTACCAGTATCGTAGTCAATATACGAACTTGCTCCTGTAGATATTATAATTGCACAGAGTAAATGTAATGAACAATATGTCATATATGCACACTTTATGTGTGGCATGTTCTGATAAATCTAACGAGAACTATACGTACAAACTTACTTGATGAAGCTTTGTCTGCAGTTTCATCTTCCTCAAACTCGCTCTCACATTCTTCCTGTCGTTATTAAAAGTCATAGTAAAAATATCATATGGCATGGTATAATCTATTTTTCCTTTAATATTTTAAAACCTGACTAATATGTACGCAAGGACGTTCGCGGTACTAGTAACAAAATATAGGACGTGGACAAATTGAATGTCACACTGTGCATGGATTCGTAATGATACACGCATGTCTTACCAATGCAAGTTTTCTTTCAGCTTCTCTCGCCGATGCTGCTTGTAGGGTTAACTGAAAATTGTCAACAAGAACAGCCACAAACAAACTGTTGAAATAACGACATATTGGGTAAAAGTAAATATAGCTGTTGTGATTGATATATATTATCTATTTGTAGCCTTTAACAAAAAGTCGAGCATTGGCGAGCTTTTTTAGACTTCGATTGTGATTGCGTAATCAAGTGCATCGAATCGCACGCGCAATCTTCCGACTGACAATTTTTTTTTTGGCGGTGAGCACCACACCGGCTTCTTATATGTCCATGTCTTGTGCCTAAAGGTCCTTTTCTGTTTTGCTAACTTTATATGACAACTCACAAAATCCGCTGCATTCGTAATAATTAAAAATTGATTGTGAACCGAGGGTGTGAAGTGTCACCTGCGTCACAGATTCATGGCACGCCACCAACGGCAAACTCAGTCGATGCTTGGAGAATGTATGTATCATTTTTTACCCTGCGTCACCGAGCAAAATTCTAGAATATTGAAATATCTATTCGCTATAGAAATTAAAAAACTGAATCCTTACATTTCTATTTTGATTTCGTAATCTCGAAATATACTTACTTGAGAAATATAAAGTACTCCACTGCTATATACGTTATTAAATAGAAAATTATGTGTACAGACGCTGTAAGAACAAAAATATAATTAAAGGGCGGCAGTCGTCGTGCCACGTCCTGTTCGATATGGGACTCATAGCGACGTATACAACGCGTGTAAAATATATTGTTTATTTACATGAAATTCGAACACGCGCTGCGCGACGACCACCGCGCTTTAAAGTGATCGAGATGAGGTAGGGTTTTGACTCAGACACACCGATATCGTAACAATAATATTAATGTTGCTTTAATGTTTATACATGGAAGTATAATATATATGAATGGTATTGGTTATATCAGAGGACAGCGATAATATTTACTATCATTGTCTGTAAATTATATTATATCCCTGGATGTATATTACTTCATGTACGCATTTCGTTCTCGTGTCGATAACATATATTTAGTGGAATTACGTATTAAACTAGAATATTGATACTGGGCGGTGATCGTCTTGACATTCATTGATTAAATTATTTATATATGAGTACATTGGGTGTACATCTAGTTCTTTGCAATATTCATGTTTTATATTATATTTACATGGATCAGCTTCGACAGCATCACTGTAAATGTAGAACCAATCATCTAAGGTAAGCAGCTGAAAAAGAGTATAACTGGCTGTCCACAAGTTGCCAAAACGACGTGGATCAACGTCGGCGTAAAGACCTCTTCCGATGACAGCAAACATATCTACAAGTGAAAATTAAGGACACGTCGCTTCTCGGTACGCATATTCGCTATTTCAGTTCCACGCAACATGGACTCTATTTTGTCCAATAAACGGCCGTGGCGAATACGAATTTGAGGTACTGTCCAATATTTTGTTACGTAATACTTTGATTTAGTCGATCAAAGTGCGCCAGGCGGATCGCAACTACTCGAGAATACTCAGTTGTCAACCACTGGCCGACATAAGCGTGTTAAAAAAAATCCCAGGACACAATTACAAAATTGACCGTATATGACTAAATAGTACATGTCGTCTTGGTGATCGGACTTGGCTATGTCATACCAAAAATTTATTTTCGGATAACTCTTATTTCAAAAGTGTTGGTTAGTACGAGTGACGTCGTGAGCTATGTTTTTCACTCATGTGTCAACAACCGTTTTTATATTTAGACAGCTATTAGTGAAATAGATGATAACATAATCTCTTTTTTTCTCTGCGGTTAGACACACATTATTTATCTGCAAAATAAAATCGATGGTGTTAATGAGCTCTGTTCATTTTCGAACCTCTTCCGCGTGCATTCTAGCTATCTATTTAAGTATGGTGCACACATGTGCCACACATTCTTCAAGTTATTTTGCCTTCATAGTTACATGTCATGCAGTTTACTCTCAGTCACTTGGTTTCCTGTTTTTAACGATCATAAGGCAATTTTCCAATATTTGTTTCTAGCAAGTTAATACAATACATAATTGTTAAGAACAGTCGTAAAACATGGCAAACCAATAAAGGATACACAGAAATAGCGAAATAAGCATAATGATAGCTCCCATAGACTGCACCGATTGTAAACATGTATTCATGATAACTTGCAAATTCTTTAAGAATCTGAAATTGGAAAATAATGCGCAATTATCGATCGCTTGCTTGTTATCGGCCTTGTTGTATGCACCCAGAGAGACCCCACCCCCGCTAGGGACGATGTTTGTCTTTCATGTCTTCAACCATTTGAACCGGGTACAATAGTGTAGTGTATTTCAATGTTATCCGTCTAGACATTCAGCTGTTCGAAATAACATTGTATTCACTGATATACTTAGCTTAATTACCTGACTGTTCGGAGAACCCGTAAAGCTCGAAGCGCCCTCATGGCACGGAACATGACTAGGAAATGAAGAATGTTTACTTCGTTGTCTAAAATAATTTGCGTTAAATAATCAGCAATGTTGGACAGTACGATAATGAAATCTGAAAATAGGCGGTAAGAAAACAATTTAAATCACTATTTGTGTTTCTCAGGTGTTTATAGTTTACATAGATGTGACAGCTGTTATTTGCTCTTTTAAGACTTAGAGTTATTAGCAATAATACTCATAAAACCTACCTATAACGTTCCACTGCTCTTTAAAAAAGTGCCAATGCCACACGAACATTTTTAGAGCACACTCCACGAAATATATAACCATTAACACATTGTCTATTACACGTGCATACCAACCTGTTGGTATAATAAATGGTCGGGAATGTATGACATATGATACTCTATTTGGAAAATAAATTTATGATTTACTACTGTAACATAGAATCTAACTAAGGCACGAACAAATCGACCATGATTGAGGGTAAGACGCAAAGATTTATGCCAAAACACTTCTCCGGCCAGCCAATGGCCGAAGGTCCTCTGGGGTAAATGTTTTATGAATGTTTTATAAAGTTCTATACAAAAAAAAAAATAAGTTCATGCCTCAGTAAAATTCAGTTTACTCTTGAAAGAGCTAGTTTTTTTAATTTCGATCACTTGTGATAACATGTTTGGACGATTGCTGGAATAACATTGTCAAATGGCGTCAATACCAATCAATGCGCCGTAAACTCGTTGATTGACAGACTGGATTCAAGTGTACCTGAGAGAATTATGCATGTAAGTACAATATTGCATTATATTTCTAGCGAATTAGTAGTCATTAAAGAAAGAACGTTTGCCAACTTTTCGTTTACATTACATACTTACCAAATCTGGTTTGTATTTCACTGAACGTCAACGCGCACAATATACCAGTATTGAGTAATATAATGGTCAGTATAAAACCATTAAAGAACGCGGATTCAATAAAAGTATACATACAACGGCGAATGACACCGGCAGTAGCAAATATCTCTCTCGTACGTAACTCCTTTTTTTGGGCTTCTTCTTCGTCTTGTTTCACGATTGTTGCAGCTTCATATCCATGGTTACTTTTTTGTTTTTCTGGTAACTTTGTGGGTTTGTGCTGTTTGAGTACTGTCGCACGACCTTTGAAGTCCGATGGCACCTTCTCTTTTGACAGCGACACGCATAGTGTGAGCGAGTTATCATGGCGAGTAGATATCTCTTGCACGGCCGGTTGCTTACACTTCGTGTCTACGACATCGTTGCCAGTATCGGGGTGCACCTTGTTACTATTCATTTGTGATATCCATATAAGCGTTTTCAAATTATCAGTAATCTAAAAGGAATTACGTAATGGTATTTTATTTTCAAAATAGGAAAAGCTCACTCAATGCCAACGGCGGTACATCGCGCGACTATATAACACCTAAATGAATAAGATGCAAAACATATCACGAACAAACAACATGAACACCGCTTAGATTTTTACTTACTTTTAAAAAAATATTTCTGATTACGAACTCAAATATCGCTTTACATTGTTACCCTATTTTCCGTCAGTTGCTAAAAAAAATCGTCTGCACTGCGAAATTGTTCTTTTGTTCGTGTTACCCAGAATGCCGTGCCACCCCCGGTCGCGTGACGTTATATATGTGATTTGCGCATGCTCTAATACACCAGTTTCTATAATCTCTGATCTGGTCGGGGATTTGGTCTAAATTGTCGTTTTCTTTATATAATATTAGACGTTTGATTTGGTCGAGATGGCTGACAGTGAAGAAAAGGCCATAAAGCTGATTGCCGAAGCTGAGAAGAAAGTGAAATCATCAGAAGGATTCTTCGGTGGTTTATTTGGGTGAGCGTTCATTGATTACATTATATAATTTCCAGTCGAATTTCATCGAGTTTATGTCATCACAAACCGCCCAAACATCTGTCTTTTCATGACAATATTCAATTCCTTACAGGAAGTCTCAGAAACTAGAAGAAGCGAGTGAATTGTACACGAGAGCTGCAAATATGTTTAAAATGGCTAAGAAATGGAGTGGTATGTACATATAAATATGCCGTATAAATAAATATACCTTACTGCAGTTATGTTGGCCCAATAATCTCCATGGCTCAATAATATTGTATTGAGTGCTTTTATTAACAATTGTGATCGGTGTAGTTTAATGATATATTTATATTTTGGTGTCTCTACGCTCGTTTTATTTCTTCCAAGACACGTGGAATTTTTTGAAGCACCTAAAAATAGCTGTGATTGCTTGTTGTGTTGTTATTATTTGAGGGGGGTGTGACTGATGTCACATGACTCATCAGTATAATGTTTACTTATTTCTTGAAATATTTATGCAATTTATAGGTCAGTCAGTTATATCACAGATGTATGAACAGTATTTTAGTCCATGGTTATAATGTTGCAATGATCTATTTGAAATGTTACCCTAATATAATATTCATCATTAATTTAATTTGTTTGAGTGTATATAAAGCATAAGATGTTATTAATGCACAATTGTCACAATAATATGGCTTTTTCATCTATTCATGCAAATTATATTAATATCTTTCATGGTACATCATTATTCTCACATTTGTGTTCATTTTGAACGATAAAAGATTGAATTATATCACCTGTCTTATGGTGGTATGAAATGGACCGCCCTACAGATGAGATTACAGGGATGAGAATTTTCCGTGGATCCGTGGATTTCTAAGCCCAAGGGATCAATTTTCTGAAAGGTCTAAATCTGAAGAAAAATTTTTAGGGGGTATTACAAAGAATACAAATTTTGTTCATTCACCGGAAGTAACCAGGTGTCATTATTGCTGCAAGAGGCCTGTATCAGTGTATGGTCGAGGGGAGACAATTCGTGGTGTCTCCAATGCGGGAATGTTCACGACTCTTTTCATCAGTGCAATCGTAAAATTTGAAGTGGTTTCGAAGTGTTCAAAGTAATATGTAATGATTGACTGGGTTTGCTCTGACGGGCCGATCAGTGAAGAGCTTTCATTTTTCTTGTCACCAATGGCGATATTTTATTATTTCAATTGTTAGCTGCGTCGGATCGTTGTTTACAAGTTTGATGAATTTGGTTACAAACAAGTCAGCTGTGCGAAAGATCTGCAAGTTTCGTAAAATGGTGGCTGAAACTTTCTAGAAATGAAATTGAACCTGAACCTTGCTGATTGCGGCATATTACACAGCATAACTTGGTGATTTTGTTTAGAAAACGAGTAAAATACTTCCCGTCGCTAACACTGCTTTTGGAGGCAGCCATGTTGTGTACGCCCTCAACATCAAAATATGTTCAAAGCTTGAGTTCTCGATGTCAAAACTAGCGGATTTCATTCCTGCAGCTAAGCTTTTCCTGACCAAGCTATGCTGCACGGTGTCAAAGCTGTGATTTTCATTAAAACGCTACACTTTCATTGGTACCCCTGAAATTCTAAAACAGTTGTGGCGTGGATTTTATCTGTATAGTCTTGATGTCTTAAAAAATACTATTATGCTCATTACAAGTTTCTACTCGTATAGACAAGCTGTATTGATGCAAATTAACCCCTATTCTTTCTCCTATAACAAGTACTACAGGTTATTAACAACTGGTGACAGGCACTACATCAGATTATTGAAATGGTTTTCTCTGCTGTTGATAGTTCATTTATACACTAACTAAGATTAATTATTTACTGATTTGCAGCGGCTGGTGGTGCATTTTGTGAATCTGCTTCAATTCAAATGCGTCTTGGTAGCAAACATGAAGCAGCAAGTAATTTTGTTGATGCTGGTACATGTTATAAGAAATCAGACCCACAAGGTAAATTCTACAAATTGTGTAATCCTATTAGTCTATTCTTGTTACTCAATACAAGTCAGTGACTGAGAAATAAGACATGTCCTCATGCAATTTCATTAGCTGCCTGATAGGGTTCCAACCTTCAGTCCATTGCATTTTCTCAAACATTCATGGACTATTTTTTTCTAAACTTGTTACATAGTTGATACATAATGGTTTAAATATGCTCCCGTTTTTATCAATCATATTCAAAATGGCCTACTAGCCCATATTTGATCCAAAAATGGCCTTACAACCTCCATTTATACATGTCACCTGCTTGTGCTGGCCGATTCTGTTCATACTTAAAATAATGGGAAACACCTGTTCACAACCATTATTTTTTAAAGTCCTTTTGACTGTCCATCAAAGATACTTATTTTTGGTCATATTTGCTTAACATGAAAATGCATTCACTTATAAAATACTTCGTACAGAGGCAAATAGAATGTATTATTTCACAAACAATGCAATCCAATATGGCTTTTGATGAAAGTAAACTAATTTCAAATTCACACTGTCCAATTAGATCTAAACATGGTACATGCTCTAATATATATTTACATTACATGTGATTACTTATTTATTTCAGAGGCTGTGAACTGTTTACATAGAGCGGTAGAAATCTTCACAGACATGGGCAGGTTTACTATAGCAGCTAAACACCATATATCTATAGCAGAAATTTATGAAAGTGAAATTATGGATATAGAAAAAGCAATAAGTAATTATGAACAGGCTGCTGATTATTACAGAGGTGAAGAATCCAACAGGTAAGAATATAACACTTCCTTAATATGACACACTATTTGTGGGTTTTGTACATTGCAATCAAATTTTCCTGAACTGCGCTAATTTATGCTAAGTGGACATGTTTATAGTTGTAGTCATTGAGCGTTTCTTAGCAATGTATGTTCAAAATAAACTTTGAGTTGCCATAATCAGGAGATTTGGTGTCACACGAGTAATTGTTATTTACCGGTAGTCTGAAATTATTATATTGTTGTGATAAACACAGTACATTACTGGATTTGTTTCTGTCTGTACTGTTCAAACAGGCATACAACGCATGTCATCTGTGATATTTCACACTAAATGTTACAACTGTGAATGATATGCACCATGGGTATGTGATAATACATATATATACCATCCAAACTTGATTGTCACATTCATTGAGCTCTGCTTTATTTTTAAATATATGACGCATACAATGCATGCATGAAAAATACAATGTTATTTACATGACCTTTGATCATGTAATATGCGATGACTGTGTCACTTTTATTGACTCCCGTGTGCGAAGCACAAAAGGGAGTCTTTGCAGTTACCCTGTCTGTATGTCTGTATTTATGTCACTTTTTTTGTTCCACCATTATCTCAAGAACCACTAATCAAATTTTAGCGAAACTTGGTACATAGATGCTCTGGGATAATGCGCAGAGTTGATTAGGTTTTGGTAAAAATTTATAAATATTAATTACTTAATTTGCATGATAATTAGCTGATTTTTAGCTGTTCCATGACTGTTCCACTGATATTAGGGAACTGATCATTACCACCCAGCCGGTTTCCTGTGAGTTTGACTTGGTTTACTGTACCGGTCATTGCTTTACCGTACCGACCGTTGCTTTACCGTACCGGCCGGTGCTTCACTGTATCGGCTGGACAATTACCGTACTGATAAGACCAATACCGACTATTTATCATCTTCGATTAATGAATGCATGGTAAACAAAGCCACGGTAACTGATCGACACCCTGCCGGTAACCGTGAGTCATGCATAAATTAATTGGGCATTTTGCAAACAATAAGAATTTTTTTTTACCCATTGAAAGTGAATAATTTTAAAAGGACATGACTTGTACAACAGAGTGTTACATCCCAGTCGACTAGAGGACTCGATGGTTTAATGATTTGTTTATATTTGTCAGTAGCTCACACAGTGGAAAGAAAGTCTGACAACCATCGAAATACAAATAAATAAATTAAAAAAAAAAGTCTTTCTGAAATTCTTCGCATGTTTTTTTTTCAATATATGTGTGTTATTCACATATTCATGATCGCCTGTAACGCTATACAACGACAGTCCTACATCGTAGCTTACCCACGACGTTGAATAAAACGTCCCAACCTGTCGCATGAATTCGATGATACTTGCATAATGTGTCAGCGTGATTCGCTTGGCCGAGCTCACATGTATTTAAATTCGGGCTTTTCGAAAATCTGTTTTGATACTTTGTTGACAATAACACGCGCAACGCGTGCACGTAGTCCAGATAAAATTTGAGTGCATAAAACGGAATTTGACCTTGCTCTAGGTCAACATTTTTCCATTGCTTTTTGACCTCATTTTGTGATTTTGTTTATGGAATTGACCCAACATATTTACACACCCCTCCAACAATCCCCAATGTAACTTTATTATAACAAAACAGAGTGTGCAAGTGTGCCGGTATATCTCTTTTTAGAACATGTGATTGGCCCTGAAAAGTGTCGTTTGGTTTGGGGCAGAATACGATTTAGACTGGAAAGGTCGGGACTTTTTTTTTGTTTTACAAAAAAAAATATAATTACAGCCAATACAAAGTCAGCTTGGACTTTCAGTTGTGAGACATGACAAAATAAACGGTGCCAGCGATAGATTTTGCGAATGAAAGAACAAAATAAACTCAATCAAAGGCGCCGACCACGCGCGTTGAAAATAAACTAATAGAACGCATTGCGATGAGAAATCTCGCCTGCATCTATCATTCACGCAAACGCACAAACATGCTATTTTCATATGTTGAATACGTTGGCAATGTCGTAAAATATTTAGCCCAATCACTGAATAAAAAAACATCCAAGCACACGTGCACTGGCGCCAGATGAAGTGAAAAAATTAAAACAAAATTACATCTGCACTGTGCATTTGTAACAATAACCAAAACCATTAGGTTACGTGCCAAAACTACCGACTCAGGATTCATCATACACAAATATAGCCACTTTCATGGAACTGTTATTTTTGTAATCCACTTTGTCGGCTTAGTTGATTTGAGTGCACTGACCCCAATTTAAAAATAAAAATATTGTATAAAATAAAGACACAGTTCCGTCTGTAGTCATATATCCATCATTTGATTGTTCCAAAGTTGCGTTGACAACGACGGGACGCCTTGGTGAAGCTCTCATTTTCACCATGGACGTACTGGGAGGTTCATGGTCTCACAAAAATCATGTGTAGCATTATC